TGACTCAGCCTTCCATCCTTCCGAGGCTTCCAGACTGTGAGGCTTCCAGGCTGTGGGGGCGATATGCTGACTCTGTAAAACCGCTTAGAGAGGGCTGAAAGCCCTATGAAGTGGTATATAAGTCTAACTGCTATTGCTATTGCTATCCCCATTCTGGACCTTCTCAGTTGGCTAAGTCAACATGGGAAGCTGGATTCACCCGGATTGTTGTTGGGGGCAATATGCTGACTCTGTAAAACCGCTTAGAGAGGGCTGAAAGCCCTATGAAGTGGTATATAAGTCTAACTGCTATTGCTATTGCTATTGCTATTGCCCCTGAGTGAGAGCGCATGCTCAGCATTGAAGAATGTGTAGTCAGCAAGATAGGTAGTGCACCACCCAGAATGCCTCAGTTCTACAGGAGTCATCGGAGGGGTGAGTCCTGCTCGTTGTAGCTCCTCCCCAAAGGGAGTGAAGCTCCAAGAGACGCCATCTTGGGATGGCCCAGAAGGCAGGCGCAACTCAACAGGTAGGCCGGGCCATGGGGGGCGCAGCAACTGGGGAGGAGTCACCGAGCCGGGAGGCGGCAACCGGTGATGTGCAATTGTTGTAACTGGGGAATGGGGCCGGATCGGCTTGAGGTGAAAGCAGGAACGTCGGCCAGCAGGAGGTGTCTGGATAGGTGGGGCCTGCCTGGGAAAAGGCCCATGTGTGGGAATCTGGGCAGAAAAACACGAATTGTGGAATGGAATGGGCAGGTGCAAATCCTGCAACATTGGAGTAGTAGAGGCCTGCCTGGGGAAGGCCTCAAACTGGAGTCTTTGGACCGGCTGGCAGGCAGCTGTGTCGTGGGCCCCTGGATCAGATGGGACGCCGGTCTCAATGGGGAGATGCTTCCTTAACTGATCCATGTGGTGCCTCCACTCGGATCCATCGGCTAGTCCGACCCTGTAAGAACAGGGGCTGGTTATGGACAGAATAGAGGCAGCCACCCATTTAGCATCCCCTGAGAAAGAACGGGCCCAGACCAAATCCCCCACTAGGAAGGAGTGGGAAGGGGAAACCCCCAGGTTGCACGGCTGCTCCCCTGAATAGAGTGGATGAATCCTATCCAGGGTGGCCCGCAGGCCCCGACTCATCAACAGCTCCGTGGTGCTTTTGTTGGTCGTTGGGCAGGGGGTGGAGTGTTAGCTTAGGAGGTAAGCCACCACCCTCGCTGGCCAATCGCCCCTGTTCCATCCGGCCAAGGGCCTCCTTGGCCGAGCGGACCGCAAGCTCCTCCCGGCCATTGCAGGCCAGATGGTACGGGGTGGTGGGCACGTGCCAGATGCCTTGCAAGGCCAGGAATTCCTGAAAAGTGGTGGAAGCGAATTGGGGCCCGTTGTCCAAGACTACCACAGCTGGCAACCCGTGCATTGCGAACAACTGGCGTAGAGCCCTGACAGTACTCTCGGCTGTGGTGGAGGTCATGAGGACAAGCTCCACCCAGAGAGAGTAGGCATCCACCCCAATCAGGAATGTCTGCCCGTGAAAGGGGCCGGTAAAATCAATATGTATCCGAGACCACGGGCCTCTCGGAGCCTCCCACTCTCGAGCAAGCGCCGCCAGGAGAGCGGAACGGGAGAGCTGACATGGAGGACAGCGGCCAACCCAGGCCGCGATCTCGGCGCCCAGCAAGGGCCACCAGACATAGCTGCACGCCAACGCCTTCATGTGTGCTATGCTTGGGTGGTCCTTGTGGAGCAGAGATAGAACCTGAGAGCGCAGAATGGGAGGAATCACCACCCAGTCCCCCCAAATCAGGCACCCGCTGTGGAGGGACAACTCATCCTGGCAGGCTTTAAAGAGCCGGAAACAGTCAGCCACCTTCCCCAGAGGCCATCCTCGGAGAACCCAGGAGCAGACCTGCACCAAAACAGGGTCAGGGAGTGGGGGCGTTCCTGATGGCCGCAACCTTAGAAGGTGTAGGGTGGATTCCCTGGGCGTCGATCAAGAAGCCCAAGAACTCCACCCTAGGCACAGCAAAGGAACATTTGCTGTGCTTCAATTTCAAGCCCGCGCCCCTAAAACGGAGGAGGACCTTCCTGAGCATTTAGATGAGTTCTGAGCGGCTGGAAGCAGTGATCAGAACATCATTGAAATACAGAACCACACCAGGGAGCCCATGGAGCAAGCGCTCTGGAAGATCCCCGGGGCCACGGAAACACCGAATTGGAGGCTGCGACAACGAAAAGTCCCACGATGGGTGACAATGGTTTGGGCAGCCGTCACATCGTCATCCATCGGGAGCTGCTGGTAGGCCTGCGCCATATCCAGTTTCGCAAAGGTGCAGCCCTGCCCCAAGGAAAGGAGCAGGTGCTGCACAACAGGGACTGGATAGGGGTTTGCCTGGAGGCCAAGGTTGATGGTCAACTTGTAGTTGGCGCAGATCTGACCGACCCGTTGGGCTTGACAGGGACCACAATTGGGGTCTCCCATTGCGAATGATCGACAGGTTCCAGGACACCTTGCGCCAGCAGCTTATCAAGCTCGGCATCAACCTTGGCCCACAAGGCAAAAAGCACCCTGCGAGCCTTCAGACGAATTGGTGCAACCTGGGGATCAAGGTTGAGGGAGATGGGGGTGCCCTTGTAGGAGCCCAGATGACCATCAAAAATGTCTGCGAATTCCATGAGGACGTCATCCAAAGAGGGTGAAGAGGTACCCACCTGATGGATCCCCCCAATTGACAACCCCAGGGGAGGGAACCAATCTAAGCCTAACAGGGAAGGCAGGGGCTTCTGCACTATCAAGACAGGCAAGTGGCCGTGAAAGTCCCCATAGTCAACCCAAATGGGGAAAGAACCCAGGGTGGGAATAAGAGTCCCCTGGTAGTCTCTGAGGGAGGTGTCCACCGGCTGCAGTTGGTCACGGCTGATGCGGGGACACAGACAGGAGAAAGTGGACCAGGACAGCAGGAAACAGGAGGAGCTGGAGTCCACCTCCATGTGGCAGGGCTGACCTTCCAGATGAAGGGCTGCAGAGACCTTTCTCGCCCCCGTGGATGTCTGGCTGACGGTCTCCCCGACGAAATCAGTCTGGGTGACAGTGTAGCAATCTTCAGCCTGCCTCGCAGGCCGCGGAGGCTGGAGGTGCGGTTGCAACTGAGAAGCGGCAGGCTGCTGAAGGAAGGAAGGCGCAGGCAGTGAGGCATGGCAGACCTGGGTGATGTGGCCTTTCTTGCCACACCGACGGCAGACGGTGCCCTTGAAGGGGCATGCAGAGCGGTTGTGTCTGCCACCGCAGCCGGCACAGGGGGAGGCCGCCTAGGTTGGGCGCGGGGCTGAGCCACTTGCTCATAGTCCGGTTCCACTAGTGACACCAGATCGTTGATGAGGCAAGCCTGAGCAGCCGGAGGAGGACACGGAGGAGGCAGAGGAGGAGGAGGAGGCGGGGGAGGTAGAGACGGTGGAAGAGGCTGCAGACGCTGCATGTCGGCTGTGGACTGCTCCGAGAGCTGGCTTCGTCCACAGCCTGCTGCAAGGTGATCTCTGGGTGAGCCAGGAGACGGCGTCGAAGGCGAATTTGACCCCGCAGATAGACTGTTCAACGAGGTTGTCCTCCAAGTCCCCAAAGTCACACTGAATCGCCGCTACGTGTAAGGATTGCAGAAATTGGCTAATGGATTCGGCCGGTTTCTGCACGCATTGGCGGAACGCATAGCGGCGGGTGATGCGCGATGGTGTGGACACGTAATGATTTTTGAGCTTTGCCATCAGCATCTCCCAGCTGAGTTGATAAACCGGCCGAGGAGAGGCCAAGGCCCTCGCTGAAGTGAACATAGCCAGGCACAGCAGCTGAGGAAGAAGCTGCACTTCTCATCCGGTCGCAGATTATGATTCTTTGAGGCTATGAGGTAGCACTCAAAGTGCTCAAGGAACCGGCCCACGACTCGCCGGAGGTTCCAAAGGGGGCGAATGGTGGAAGCGCCGCCATCACTCAGGTCGCGAGGAAAGAAAAAAAAATTGTTCATAGTAAAGAGCCGGCGGATGCTCCGCAGTTTGAGCAGCTTCGGGGCTGATTGTCCTCTCGTTCGTTCTAGGCTCTGGTTATTGGAATCACCAGGATCCCACCCTCGTTGCCAGTTTTGAGGATCGACGGAAAGACGAGAGCCAGAACTGCCAGAACAAGAGGTTTATTTTCACAGAACTATTTACAGGCGATTCAGCACCATCCCTGCTTGACAGCTATTTAAACGGGCTGTCAAGCAGGGAAAGCCAATGAGCGGGCCTACTGCAGCTAGCAATAGACGATGCTGCGCCCTAGCCAATCAGGGCGCTGCCTGGCCTGTTGCCAGCTGCCAGGTCTTACGTCGAGGACTTTCCAAGTCCTCAACAGTGCCAAAAGCGGGGGGATTGCAGGGAGGTTGTGCATGGGAATGTTGCACCTATAATGCAATGCATGACCCCCAGCATGCATGCGTGCATGACAGGTGCAACCCCCCATTTTTTGCATGGTTTTTTCACCCTCCCCAGGTTCCAGAAGCTTTATAGGAGCCTGGGGAGGGCGAAAATAGCCTCTCCCCCCTTGGAGGCTTCAGGAGCTTCCCTGAAGCCTCTGGAGCGCAAAAAAATGGCCCTATGGGCAAACCGGAATTTCGGGAACGGACTTCCAGTTTGCTTGTAGGGTTGGGTTAAGCCTTCCGGAGCCTTCAGAGGCCTTCCGAAGGATGAAAAAGAGCCCTACGAGCAAACTGGAAATCACTTTCAGTTTGCTTGTAGGGTCATTTTTCGTCCTCCGCACGGCCCCTGAAGACTCTGGAGGGCTTAAACCGGCACTATGAGCAAACCACATGTTTGTCCACAAACTTCTGGTTTTCCCCTTAGGGCTGATTTTTTGCGCTATAAAGCCTCTGGAGCCTGGGGAGGGCGAAAAATGGATGCAGAAAAAGATTAATGTCAGCTGGCCAGTGTGTGCATGCATGGCAGCGTGCACAGGTGTTGCGCTGGCCAGCTGACAGGGCAATGCCTCACGTGCCATAGGTTCACCATCCCGGCTCTAAAATCTATAAAATAGATTAGACTGTGATACAGATTTGCTACTTTCCCAGTCAAACCTACAGATATTCCACAGCATTGCACTAGAGTCTGCTACTAAAAATTACGATGCAGATCAAAAAAGCTAATTGTGACTGATGGATGGGTCCAGTTGTGAAGATCTCCAAAGTAAGCAGGAAATTTAGGGATAGTAGTTCATAACAAAGCTTTGCATTAATGATTTTGACAAAAGGTAATAAAAGGTAAAAAACACTAGGAATATTTCCTGAAGCAAATCTTTTCAATTACAGCATGGTTTATAAAGCGGAGATATAGCCCCCATAAATTTATTCCTGTTCTGCTTTATTTTTAATGCAAAGTATACTGCTGTAATCATGTTCACCCAAGAAAGCCAATAACGAAGGGATTTTATTAGATGTTTACAAATTTTCTCTGTTCACCTTAACTTCTCTTTTCTCTGTCACACCTAATAGCTGTTGCATACATAAATACAAAACTGAGGAAAGGACACACATATATAAAGGCAGTTTCTGAATCTCATTTTCAAGATGGCTTATTTGAACCCACAAAACACTTATTTATTTTACAAAAGGCAGCTTGGCACTGCTATTTACAGAAACCTGATACCACAGGCAAGATATATACATAAAGAAAATCTGAAATGAATTCCTAGACAGTAAAGATATATTCACTTACATTTCGGGAGTCAAATATGCATCATCTGGAGTATCTGAAAAGAAACATTAAAAGGAAACAGTTACTCGAACCACACAATATAACAGAGAAGTTAAATTCACTAGTGTATTGCTTGAATAAATCCATTCTCAGTAGGAGTTCCAGAGATTTCTGGATTTCCACAAACTTATCTCAAACTTTAGATTAATTATTGGGTTAATATTGGAGAAGACCATGAGAAAAATATCCATAAGTAAGTTTCATTATATATCAGAGTTGCTTGACCGTAAGATGGATAGCATATAAATTTAAGAAAAATAAATGAAAGTATGGAATCAAAGGAGTTAAAACTGATATTTGTCATTCATTGAAACTTGATGTCAATTAATGTGGAGAGCCACGGTGATGCAGGACACTTCAGACTGAAGAACATGAGAGACGGGAACATGTTAGAATAGCAGCGAACATCACTTACTGAATTGTGGGACAAAAGAAAAATAGCCCCAAATGAACAAATCCCTTATTATTAAATACAGAGGTGGGTTCCTACCAGTTCGCACCAGTTTGGTAGAACTGGTTCGTCAAATCTACTGAACCGGTTAGAAGAGTTCCACCAGTGGACCCGGAAAGTAGGCCACATCTACAGAAGAAGTTCCAAATTTTTTTGAAACCCACCACTGACACACACACACANCACATACACACACATATATGTATGTACACATACACATACACACGTACACCATAGTTTTATAGTTTTCTGCATCTGTTTGCCACCATTCAGTGGTTGTCTAGATTTTCATAAAGAGCGTAGTCCTAATTTTCCTAATTTTTGGTGATCCTGTATTTTTCACCAGGTAAGCTTTGCTCACTGAAGAACAAAAAGTTAATGCAGAGCAGACTACTAAAAGTTGATTTACAATGCAGACTACTCAAAATAATCTATAGAATTTCAGAAAGTAAAGAACATAATCATTGATGTATGTTCATCCTAAATATTCAGCCTACTTAATAAATCTTATAATAATAATAATAGGAAGCGTAAAACTATAATGTGGAACATATGAATCTCTAAGATACGTTAAGAAGGTACAGAGTGTTGCTTTTTGAATATCAGAAACTTGTTAGTCAGTTGTGTGCTTAATAACCAGTATTGTAAAGATAAGAATATTTATATGTGTAGTGTAGTACACCTTGAAAGTAATAGTACATATATGTATCCCCATTGGACTTTTAAGTAAATTATGTCTCTTTAATATTAGGTATAAGTGATTACTTCAGTGTGAGTTCTGAGGTTATAAATCACCAGCATTTCACATTATTCTGGGAATGAGAGAAAATGGGTTTTATAGTATGTATTAAATCCATTGTCAGTGTAATGCAAACAGGAATAAGAGGCATATAATATAAACATTCAATCCACAGTAGGAGGGAAAGGGAACAATGAAATGAAAATACTGTTCTGACAGTTTCAAAATATACTTGAATGTAAACAGTTTTACAGATATGTTAAATAACTATCTGTGACATAAGAAATGGATTTGGCTACTACAATGCTCATAGAACAAGCACTTTCTAGAGTAAACCATATAATTCAATGCCCAAATAGTTGTGTGACAAGACAACTGCATTTTCTCAAGAACTAAATATATTCTTTTGTACTAATCCTGCATCTTTTGAGTCGAGCAGTCATTAGCATGTTTATAATGGTTCTAATTTAAAATGACATTTTCTGAATTTTATTCCTGAGTCATTTACAAATTGTTCATATTGGCTAAACAAAGGAAACAGATTGCATTTGATACTTAGTAATTTATCTGAAAGAAGAGAGGGTTAATTGTCTGAAAGTTTTTCTTTGTTTGGAAAAGTTCTTGGTCTCCCTCTCTTTCTCCCATTCTTTCTTCCAGGGGAGTGAGGAAAATGAAAAATTAGGAGCAGGGCAAAACTGACCAGTCCTGAAGGGGAGTGTGGAACAGAATTTGAGCTGGCTCAAGATTATCTAAAACAGTTGGTGCATTCCTTAATGATCAAGTGGCTGAGAAGCTCAGCTCTCTCTCAGAGAGCATCTGTGTTAATGTTTATATCTGTGGCTTGTTCTATGGGAAAAGCATGCTTTCTCTTATTTCTCTGCTAAAAATAAAAAGGATTCGAGCATTGTATGAGCTGTTTTTAGAGAACAAAAACATTGGAAAGGTGAAAGGTTTTGTTTTTTAGTAAATAAATTAAAAGAATAAATATCAGGGCAGAATCTTGGTCATCCCCATTTATGAGGATGGAAACAAAATGAGGGGGTGGGTGTTTTAGTTATTGTATGGCATTTTATCTATGTGCATTGAAATGTTCATTAAGGGTTTTTAAAAAAAATAAGAGCCATATAAGCTCTTTTCCCAGCCAAGCTCAGCTTAGATAACAGGCCTGGCAACAACTAAAATTTATATCCCAATATTTGTTTCCATCCTCATAAATGGGGATGACCAAGATTCTGCCCTGATATTTATTCTTTTAATTTATTTACTAAAAAACAAAACCTTTCACCTTT